CTCCCCTCAGGATTTGGGGCCAAAAGGCTCCATCCAGGGCCTCTCCACACCCAAACAACCCAGGCAATAATTCCCATTTCCCCCCAGGGAACCCCAGCTCCCACTGTCCCACCAGCAAGAACAGGGAATGACCCAAGGCAGGGAATGGAGCTCTCCCAGCTGGAGAAGACCCCAAACCACGAGGGAATTCCCTGGGAATGCCCTCCCAGGCCTCACCAGTGTGGGTTTTCATGTGCTCATCGAAGTACTGCTTCATGTTGAAGTCCTTGCCACACCACTGGCACATGAACTGCTTGTGCCCGATGTGGATGCTCATGTGTGAGCGCAGCTGGTACTTGTACTGGAACCTCTCGTCGCAGTTCTGCAGGGGAAAAAAAAAATGGGAATTTTGGGGGGTTTGGGAAAATGGGAATGAGCCCTGCAGGGGCTGGGAGGGAGCTGGGGCTGGGCAGAAACAGCTCAGAGAAAAAGGGGATTTGAAAGGGTTTGTTGAGGGATGGAATGAAGGGTGGAAGGTTGGAATTGAGGGGGGAAAGGTGGAATTATTGTGTGGGGAAAGGTGGAATTATTGTGTGGGGAAAGGTGGAATTATTGAGTGGGGAAAGCTGGAATTATTGAGTGGGGAAAGATGGAATTATTGAGTGGGGAAAGGTGGAATTGAGTGGGGAAAGCTGTGAGTGGGGAAAGGTGGAATTATTGTGTGGGGAAAGGTGGAATCACTCCCAGGATCATTCCCTCCCATTCCCAGATCATTCCCTCCCATTCCCAGATCATTCCCTCCCATTCCCAGGATCACTCCCAGGATCACTCCCTCCCACTCCCAGGATCATTCCCAGGATCACTCCCTGCCATTCCCAGGATCACTCCCTCCCATTCCCAGGATCACTCCCAGGATCATTCCCTCCCATTCCCAGGATCATTCCCTCCCATTCCCAGGATCATTCCCAGGATCACTCCCAGGATCACTCCCTCCCATTCCCAGGATCATTCCCAGGATCACTCCCAGGATCATTCCCTCCCATTCCCAGGATCATTCCCTCATTCCCACCCCATCCAAAGCCATTCCCGCCCCTCATTCCCACCCCATCCAGGGCCATTCCCATTCCCATCCCTCTGTTCCCACCCCATCCATTCCCATTCCCATTCCCATTCCCATTCCCGCCCCTCATCCCCACCCCATCCAGGGCCACTCCCAGGATCATTCCCTGATTCCCATCCAGGGCCATTCCCATTCCCAGGAGCATTCCTGCCCTTCATTCCCATCCAAGGCCATTCCCAGGATCATTCCCTCATTCCCAGTCCATCCAGGGCCATTCCCATCCCTCTGTTCCCATCCCATCCATTCCCATTCCCAGGATCTTTCCCACCCCATCCAGGGCCATTCCCAGGTGCATTCCTGCCCCTCATTCATTCCCACCCCATCCAAGGCCATTCCCATCCCCCATTCCCACCCCATCCAAGGCCATTCCCAGGATCATTCCCATTCCCATTCCCCATTCCCACCCCATCCATTCCCATTCCCAGGATCATTCCCAGGATCACTCCCAGGATCACTCCCTCCCATTCCCAGGATCACTCCCTCCCATTCCCAGGATCATTCCCTCCCATTCCCAGATCACTCCCAGGATCATTCCCAGGATCATTCCCAGGATCATTCCCTCCCATTCCCAGGATCATTCCCTCATTCCCACTCCATCCAGGGCCATTCCCATTCCCATCCCTCTGTTCCCACCCCATCCATTCC